GTAGTAGTAGTAGTAGTAGTAGTAGTAGTAGTAGTAGTAGTAGTAGTAGTAGTAGTAGTAGAGTAGTAGTAGAGTAGTAGTAGTAGTAGTAGTAGCAGCAGCAGCAGCAGCAATAGTAGAAGTAGAAGTAGAAGTAGTCGTGGTGGTCGTAGTAGTAGTAGTAGTAGTAGGAGGAGGAGGAGGAGGAGGAGGAGTAGGAGTAGGAGTAGGAGTAGGAGTAGTAGTAGTAGTAGTAGTAGTAGTAGTAGTAATAGAGTAGTGGTAGAGTAGTAGTAGTAGTAGTAGTAGTAGTAGTAGTAGTAGTAGTAGTAGTAGTTGTAGTAGTAGTAGTAGCAGCAGCAGCAGCCGCAGCAGGAGTAGTAGTAGTAGTAGTAGTAGTCGTAGTCGTAGTCGTAGAGAGTAGTAGAGTAGTAGAGTAGTAGTAGAGTAGTAGTAGTAGTAGTAGTAGCAGCAGCAGCAGGAGTAGTAGTAGTAGTAGTAGTAGAGCAGTAGTATACTAGTAGTATAGTAGTAGTTTTATATTACTAGTAGTAGTACCAGCAGTAGCAGTAGTAAGAGTACTTAGTAGTACAGGTAGTGGTACTACTAGTAGTAGTAGTAGTAGTAGTAGTAGTAGTAGTAGTAGTGGTAGTAGTGGCAGTAGTGGCAGTAGTCGTAGTAGTAGTAGTAGTGGTAGTAGTAGTAGTAGTAGTAGTAGTGGCAGTAGTGGCAGTGTAGTAGTAGTAGTAGTAGTAGTAGTAGTAGTAGTAGTAGTAGTAATAGTAGTAGTAGTAGTAGTAGGAGTAGTGGCAGTAGTAGTAGTAGTAGTAGTAGTAGTAGATTTTCTGGAATGTTGATGGCAACGTTGGAATTATCTTCCTATAGTCTCCGGCTGTTTGGGAATGGCAATGTTTGAAAACAATTGTTCCTGATTCCCGGGTCACATGCGCAGAATCAGAAACATGAGAACATCCATGAACATCCGACGATGATATCAAGCTTGAAAACGCCGCACCACTGTTGCGTTCATAGCCGCACGAGAGGAGGACACAGGGTTTGCCAGCGCGGCCAGGAGGACTCAGGGTTTGCCAGCATGGTCAGAGGACAGTAGGACGACAAGAGGAGGACACAGGGTCCGCCAGTGCGCCCGCAACACAGGTCGTGAGCCCGGCCAGGACGAGGACACCAGGGGGCACCACAATTACAAGCCAGGATCGCAATGTAGAGCTATGTTTTTTCAATAGACATATTTAGCACGGTAAAACGTGGTATGTCGGTGCGACTCCCTATCTCTTTCGGAGATGGAGATTCCCCTGCGCCCTGCGGAGCATGTCGGCGAACGGGGCTGGGCCCTGGCCAGATTATCGCCGCTGTTGTGTAGCTACATGAAGGTAAGCCCCGCCTCTCTTTCGGCCAGCTCATGGGGGTTTCTTGAGTTTCCATGGACGTTCACCTCGTTTGAAGTCTGCCCGGCACGTCGCCCACCTCGGCTCCGCGTCGAGGTCCAACTCAACGGCTCGGACCTCACGCGTGGTCCAAGCGCCCGGTCCCTCACGACCACCTCCACAGCGAACGACCTGGTCGGCACCAAGGAGTGCCGCATCCGGTGCCGTGGCACGAGTCGGAGGGCAGAGAGATGTGGGACCTGGGTGACCAGGTGGAAACCCACGTGAAGGAGAAGGAAGGTGGAGAAGGAAGGTTCAGGCGACAGGGGATCTGAATTTGCCAAGGACTGTGTCCAGTCTTCCATGTTTGAGCAATGACCCAGTTTGTCCATCCACTTCCGTGTGATGTCTGAGATACTCTCACTCTCACATTTCCAGGCAAGGGCAGAGGCATATCCTCCACATCAACTTGGGTGAAGCCATGGAACTGAGGATCCTCTTCAGTGTCGTAGTGTAGGCTTCTGTCGTAGATTCACTTCATTTCCTCAGATCGAAGGTTTAGACTCATTTCACAAGGAAGAATGCTCATGCTTCTTATGGGGCTTGGTGTACATCCATTCTGATCAGATCGGGGTCACATAATCATGGATCACACCGACATGCCATGCATGAAATGGTTTCACCGATCAAGGGGCACACACACACAGCCTGTGGTGGGAGTAGCCAGAAAAGTAGGAACATGTAGAACAGCTATATAAATTAATGGACTCCAATGCTAGTTTAACAAAGAAACAAGACTTTGGACGATCGACCAAATGGGGAAGTACCTTCGGAGTGCCCCAGCCCCCCGTTCCGAATCAGTCCATCGCCAAACACCGTGGAGAACCGTTCGCCCTACGAGCCCCGTTTCGGTTTCGTTCCAACCCAGGTTGCCGCGCAAGCCGAAGAACGTCGCAGCCTTCAAGACCGAGTTGGAGACCTTCTCTTTGAAGCCACGGAGCCTGTTGAGTGCATGTTGAGGGAAGGTGGGTGTAAAGGAAGGCACTGGGTATGAATGAATCGCACAGACAACATGTATACTGTAATGGGATAACAATAGGTATGTATATAGTTATATATATATTATAGAGTAATCTAATATATAACTATACCAATATAGTACATATATATTATATCATATTTACGTTACGTCAATCTTAGAATCTTGACTGCCGTGCTCATTTGCTTGGTGAATCTTGGGAATCCGCCAGGCACAGGCTCTCGGCCAACTTGGAGAACCTCGATGCCCCTCGTCTCGTTGACTCATCGTCTCGTTCGGGAAACTGGAGCATGCTTTCCATTGGTAGCTGGTAGAGCATCATGGTGTCGATACATGTTCTGAACCCATAGAGGAGGGATGTCACAATGAGCACACGAAGCTCGTTACCTACCTGCATTGACTGGCCTTATGCGGCGTGATCTTCGTGGTCCGGATTCGACTTCTCGGTTTGGCGCTTTCTTCAGCCTCTGGCAATCGGCACGGGAAGATTCTCACTGGCCACGGTTGGCAGACCTCAAAGGGATGGCAGGTCTTGAGATATTTGGACATTCTGACTCATTTGCAACTATCTCTGACATTCTGTCCTCCTCCATCTCCCGCTCACAGGGATGCCTGTTCTTTTTTAGGCGAGCACCGCGCCGTGAGGTGCTGGTGAGCTTCAGCTGTGACATGCCTGAGGAGATGATTGAAGCTACAAAGTGGATTGGCAGAACCAGTGTCCGGTGCACAAGGGGGTACCCTCATATACGACACCACCCGGCCCTTTCATGCCGGGCCCAAAATATGTTTAGCCAAAATCTGCTTAGCAAGTAGTCTGACTGATGCTTGGAGTTTCTGCAGTTTCCAAGCGTAGCAACTCACCTGCTAGTGACACACATGTTCCAAACTTTCCAGTTTCCATGAGACCTGCGCGTTGTCCAAACACCTGCTGGGGAGGTGTCAGGTTTTTCCACTTTGCTGCTCCGCCCAGTCTCCGGTGGATAGGATCTCAAGTCCGGGGTGGGTCTTTTGAATGCCAAGTCTCGGTGTCTCGGTGGAGACCCGCAAGAGTGGCCCAGCTCAAAGGAACCAGAGAAGAAGGACCCCATTCGCCGCTGTTAGAGGTCTCTCAAAAAGGAGGCCACATCGATCCTATATTGCCGGGCTTTCACTGTATTTCTTTCGGTTTGCCACTCCTCTGTCTCCTCTGTGAGTTTGCAACACAGGAACACGAATGGATCCTGGTGGCAAAAACGTTCCTCTTCAATCCCATGAATGGTGGGCCCATGTGTACAGAGACCTTCTCAGCCAAGCCTTTCCATCCGAGGTCGGAGCTATGGGAGATCCTCCATCGGAACTGTCCGGGCCTGTTGCTGGGCTTGAGCGAGGTTTGCTCTGGTAGAGGTTATGGAGTCCCTGGAGCCTTTCCTGGTGGACCGGACATAGCAGTTGGAAGGCGAGAAACAAAGAGAATCATCATGCCTTTTATTGCAGAGGAGCATATAAAACTAATGTATATATATATATAAAATCTATGTAATCATGAATCACATAGATGCAGAGGAAACCAAGATCTCTAACCTTCACTGACAAAAGGTCCAAACGAGGCCGGGTTTTCAGGCCTTCATCTAACAGTCCCGATTTACCCCCTTCAGCCACTAAGTGGGCCCACTACAGTCCCGATAGAAGAACTCCTCCACCCAGCGCTTTTCTTCTCACGTCAAATTCTCTTGTTTCGTTTCCCCGGGGCCCCGGGCCTCCTCCCAGCTGCGATCTGGAGGGACATACCGCGCCTTTCGCCGAGGAAGCGGTCGAACCTGTTCCCGGAGGGGCCGACGTCCCCAGAGAACCGCGCGTCAAGCAATCCCATACTCCATCAGGTGCTTCTTCCGCGGGGCAAACGAGCGTGTTTCTTTTCATGCCCCTTTTTGGTGGCATGATACGGCATGATTGATTTCTTGGTGAGCTTGATGGTGTAAAATTGTGGAGGGCTCTAACCCTCCTTTGGCAACCTCCAAAAGAACCTGGATTGTTCATGTTTGTCTTCTAGTCTCATCCAACTCACTCTCCCTTCTCGCCTGATTCTGCCGGGTTATAGAATCGTACGAATGAATTGATTCTAGCTTGTGATTTGCGGCGACGACGTCGCTTCCGCAGGAGCATGAAGCCTTGGCATCTATCTATACCACCGATTTCGAGGTGCAGCGGAACCCGCCGCCGATCAATGGGTTTTCGATTGGTCAAAGGATGGACTATGATGGACTGATGGACCAAAACCCGGACCAGGGCGCGACGGCGGCGAGCAAGCGGACGATGGTGCTTTGGATGTTTGTTTGTTTGTTTGATTTTCCATGAAATGTAACTGTTTTGGGGGAACTTTTGGGTCTCTCATGGACCCGACGCAGAGGTCCACTCAGTGGACACCGTCTTACAAAGCTGTTTCTCATGCCAGCTTTGTCTAGACTTGAGCCTCTGAGATTCTTCTTGGGTTTGAGACGTTCTCGGTGCATCGTTCTCATCGTTCTCCCCACGAACTGGCGAGTTCGCTCTTCTTGGGTGTGAGGGTTTCCCGCTGGTGGGGGCGGGTGGTGCTTTTTGGAGGTGCTTTTTGGGCTTGGTGATCACTTTTCGTGGCAGGCGCAGGGAAACCTCATTTGTGGTCTTCGGTCTGATTTCGTGGCAGGTGCAATGAGTCGTGACTTTTGGACATGTGGCTCGTTTTCAGAAATTGGATGAAGTCTGAAGCGAAAGCTGCATTTTGGCATCTTGATGTTGTGTTTGGAAGTGCCCTTACTGCGAATCGCCTTGGCAGGGCTGCGCGATGTGAATCTTGATGTGCAGACTTCGTGGCAGGCGTAGCACTTTGTGGACCTTGAAGTGCAGATTTCGTGGCAGGCGCAAAACTTTGTGGACCTTGATGTGTGGATTTCGTAGCTCTCTTTGGAACCCGGTGCGTCTAGATCTCTAGAGCTTCTGCTACACCTCTATAGACCTTAGTCCTTTAGACACACACACATTTTGGGGTCTCTTGCCAGGATAGTTTCAATTATGATGTTCAGAGAGCCAAGGGGCTCCAAGATAAAAATTGGAAACAGGGGTTTGCAGTCAGGTCTAGAATCCATACCCAAAGGTTTGGAAAGAAACATGAGATGCACTCCTTCATCCGCCGCAGTGACTAGGACCATGGTAGCTGCAGCCTCACTGCCGCAGTGACTAGGGGTTGGCGTGTTTGGCCGTGCCCAGCGACGGAGCCGCGCAGGCCTGGAATGACTACGAGTGGGTCGTGAAAGTGGGTTCTGACACACATCTCCGTGTGCAGCTGCCAGCCGGTTATCCGCACAGCGAGCCGCCCATCGTGTCTTGGTTATGGACCCATGGGACTGTGAGAGGATGGGACTGATGTGTTGTGTTAGGGATTGTTAGGGGGAAGGCATGTTTGACTCTGTGAATGGGTACAGTAGCCAACAAACAAAAATGACAGATTGCTGGTTGCTACAGCGTTGTGGTCAAACAGACTTCAATTAAGAAAGCCAACAACAACAACAGTTTGTGGGTCAGAGCAGTGGGGGTCACTCTCTGGCAGTACCTTCTTTCGCCCCGAAGGGTTCGTCGAACGGTCTCAGGTTTCGGTGGAGTGTCCCCGTGGCACTGCGCCTAAAGTGCAACGAGAGCTGGAAAATTGCCGTGGCCCCAGTCTGGCAAAAAGAAAAGAGGCATAGGTCTTGGTTGCGAAGCGGAGTGGCTCCACTTGAAGGATTGGAGTGTTGGTCGCTGATCCACGGCCATGGGAGATCATTTTGCTCGTAGACTGGTTGTAGACCGTAGAGAGATGCTTTAAACATCTTTAAAAGATCTTTGATAATTCTCCCCACAACCTCAGGGTTTGACCATGTTTGACCAGTTTGACGTGATTTGACATGTCTTTCATTCTTCCAAATAATGTTTTCTGACTGACCTGTCCGATGTCTTTCCCATGGAAGTCTTTCTCCGCAGAATTGCTGAAATGGCTACATCGACTCGTGGAGGAGGAGCATTCAGAAACAGGCGGCGCGTTCGTCGTTGATCTTCTGCGGCGCGGAGCCCTTCCATTGCTCTTCTACGCGAGGAAGGCCAAGAACGCCATTCGGAGCAGAGGAAACGATGCCAATGAAGGGTGCAGCGCCACCCGGGACGTAGTAAGCGCTCTTCTTTGCATCCGGCTGTTAGCGCAACAGCTGCAAAGCATGGTGCAAAGTGAAAGCGAAAGTGGAGCAGAAGCAGAAGAAACCGAAGGGCCAAGTCCAAAGAGAATGAAAGCAACGCCTTCCGCGCCGCCTGTGTTACCATCTGCTTCCAAGCTGCGACAGATGGACCCCGAACTGGTGGATTTGGCGCTGGTGCTGGCACATTGGGTTTCCACTGAATGGTGCTCTCCACGTGTCGAGGTCGTCGACTACCTGCCCTGCTGTTGCGATGAGACCTCGAGTTTTCTTCTGTCGACCGGCTGCGACCATCTGAAGTTGAAGGCCGTCTTGGACGTGGTGCTGTTTGCTCCAATGCCAGATGGTCAGGAGATAGGACGGCAGCGCTTGCTTCATCATGGTCCATGGCTTAGTTTCAGCCCAGTGCCTGGAGGGTGGCACACATTATATCCTGCAGGTGCTGCTTTGCATCGATGGGAAGAAGTCACCGCCGCGGGGCTGCTGTTGCTGGCAGCGGCTAGGACTTTCAACGAAACGTCCGAAGGATACCAGAGCAAGGACCAACGCCGTCCAACTCGTCCTGCTCTTTTGGTCTATGGTGCCTGCGATGGGCTCTTGGCCTCCTTTCTGGCGCACCACGCGCCAGAGGTGCAGGTGGACGTGCTGGAGCCAACCGATGACAACGAAGAGAGCGGTACCTTCACGTTGCTTTCGAAGCACTTCGATTTGAGACTGGGTGCTGCTGGGCTTCTGCAGGGCAGCCGCCGATTGCTGCGAGACTCGACCGCGGAGACGGGTCGACACCGCGACACCGAGAAGGCACCGGGCGCAGTGCGAACGCCGGGGTCGATGGAGGGGTGTGGAGAGTTGACCCAAGAGGGACTGTATGATGGCATCGTTGTGATGAAACCCTTTGGAGCTGAAGAGGGACGTATTTCTTCGCTGAGGCTTGATGAAGTAGTGCCTTCTTTGCGTCAAGGAGGCTTGCTGCTGGTGGAGTCCGAACGGGATCAGTGCAGGAGCGTGGAAAGCTTGGGAGATGTCGTGGAGCTGAACGACTTACTTCAGGATGGCGAGGACGAGGAGGCCACCGATGCCACTGTGCTTTGCATGGTCACTCCCACCAGAACACAGGACCCTTCGCTCGCGTTCGAGGAGGTCATTTGCCCGGAGAAGTGGTTTGAATTGCTTCTGGAACGCGGAGGAGTGCGTGGAGGAGCTCCAGATGTTCTCGACGCACAAACGACTCAGGTGGTTCCTGCTGGAACGATTGGCACAGAGGACTTGGCCACCTTGAAACGTCTGGCGGACTCGGCGCGAAACGCCGGACTCGCTTGTGAGGTGCGTTCACCGAACTCGGAGAACTGGCAGGTGACGTTCCTGCAGACGAATGGATTCTTTGAAGAACATGCCCCCGAGCTGCTGGAGCGCTTCACCGCGCTAGCCCGGTCGGTGGCCTTGAGACAGAAGTGGGTCACCCAAGCTCAAGCAGATCGGTTCCAAGCGAGGGTCATTGAGTGGCACCAGCAGGAGGCACCAGGACCTGGCATCCCGGACCCCAGGCACTATGACATGGATAGTTTGGTCACAGTAGATGTCATGTGCTCTGCACCAGGCATCGACTTTTTGGGTGGCCAGCTGCAGACGCTGGAAGTGGAGGGTCTCAAGGAACACCGCTTTCAGCTTTATGAGATTCTGATCTTTCAGGCACATAAGTACCACTGTGTCGCCCCAGTGGTGCAGGGATGTCGACGTGCACTGGTCTTGGAGTTCTGGGATGGTCCTGCACGACGTTGCCCTCACAGGTGCACCAGCTTCGAGCGCTTCTGTCCGCAGGAGCCGCAGAAGAGGCACAGCCAGCAAGAGAAATGCGAAGAACAAAAGAAAGCTCTCGGAAGGCTTCTACCCTTCCGCCTCGCTGCGCGCAAAGTCTCTGTGTCGCCCTCGAGACGGTCCATGAGTCTCTTGTGGCAGTGCAACGAACCCACACAATGATGCCAGGTCTGGAAAGCAGTCTCTGCGCACTCCTGTCAAAGACACAGCTATGCAGCTGGACTGTGGACAAGCTCTGAACTGCGTAGAAATCCTTTTCAGAAGGATTTAGAGATTCTGGTGCTCTGGAAAAAGATCCGAGCATCCCTTTGTGACCAACCCATCTTCCATCGAGAGAAGGGTCCCCGGGATCGATGAAGGGTCCCAGGATTGCCGCTCTGAATTGCTCTGATCACATCATTTGCACCCTGACTCACTGAGAAGTGGAGAATGGCCCGAAGAAGGCTACTTTCCTCTAGAACAGGCACCCTGCCATCCACTTCCACTTGAGTGAGTCCGAGTTTATATATTTATTATGTTGATGGCAGAGAACTGAAAGCTGTCCTGCACTTGGAAAACCGAATTTCTTCAAGTGTGAGACTCATTAAGGATATTCAGGTGCTTCTTAGCTTGGTCAAGGAGACAACGTATCAGTGAAACAGACCACCAAATTTTTCTGAACATGACAACATGTGACAACATATGACAACGCATGACAACGTATGACAACACATGACAACCACATTCCAGCACTTGGTGATCAGTGAAGCAAGCCCAACAAGCCTTGGTTTCACAATCGTTGGGTATCAACCCAACCCAGTGGGTCACCTGTCCGCAAGCCGGTCCGGCCCACCGGATCTGCGAGGCTGACCGACTGGGTTGGTTGGGTCGTTTTGGAGAGGAACGAACCTCGCGGTCCTTGGGTGGTTTGGTCCTTGGGTCTTACAACATCTTCCACAGCAACTCATCGTTTTCCACTCGTTTTTTCTTGATATATCCGGCCGAATATTTGTGGTTCGCTTGTTCTTCTTTCCACGCAAGACTACTTGCCAAGACTATATCATCACTTGTCCTTCCACTCCCCTTCCTCCCTTTTCCGCCCAGCCTTGTCCGACCCCCCCAAAAGAACCGCCCAGAACGGGCCGGCCGACCTCGACGAGACCGAAAGAAGCGCACCGCGAAGCGCACCGACCGCGCGGGCGTGGTCGCCAGCGACCACGGCGTTCTTCACCGTCGATCCGCGCAGTCTCAGGCTGGTCCGCGGGCTCGGAGGGGTGCGTCTTCCAGATGGTGGAAATTCTCCGAGCTGCGGTGGACGCCATGCCCAAACTGGACACTGAGAGCGGTGCCGCGGTGGAGAGCCCAGGCGAGGGTGGGTAAGAAAGGAAGGAGGGTGGATGAAGTAGGAATGGGAAGTGCCAGGTCTGAGGCAATGAGGTCCATAGAATGAAAACACTACAATATTATACATACAAATCGGTCTCTACAGAATAGAACTAGAATTAGAATCATAATGTGAGATATATAATGGAAGCTTCCAGTGACTCCACTGATCAAAGAAGTCACATTGTGTGAAGATGGGCATGGGGCATGGACACAGGGGGCCTTGCAAAAAGGGGATTTGGATGGAAGAACTGCAGAATTGTGATATAGACACTCTGTGAGTGTATTAAGATGTATTCAGTATGTCAGTGTTTGCTTTGGTGAATGTTGCTTTTCGCGGGTCTGGCACACATTTTTATTGGCCTGATCGGATAGAAGTCAGCGGCTCTCTAAATGAGAAGTTCATCGCCAAAATCCAATGTGGAATCTTCTTTGAGGAATCACTGATTGTTAAAGAGCAACGATCCAACGCCCTTTGGACCATCACCTCACATTTAGCATTTAACAGCAAAAGTCCGAGATCCTTTCAGGCAAATAGCTTGTCGATATAATCCATCATGAAGGACGCGTTGCACTTAGCAGTGAAGGCCTCAGAAACTTGTAGCAGATAGATGGACTCCTGGTTCTTCTTGGACATTTCGACTTCATTTTCAGGAGTCTAAAGATTTGGAGTGTGAGGGAGTCAGAGGAGGCTTCTTCCAAATGTTCCATACTTCCAAATAACCTTTGTGATGACCGGTCGAGCTTTCCAGATCCCCCAAGCCAGATGGTCCTTGCTTGTATCGCCATCGTTGACAACCAGGTCAGGACTAGATCATCCCCAAGACCATGTAAAACAACACCTGGAGGGGAATGTCCAGCCATGTGATTCAAAAAAACCGCCTCCCGAAACCCTCTGACCATCGAAAGCCTAGTCGCCAAACACCTTACAGTCGCAGGTGAGGAGCCCCCCGTGAAACCAGAGGTCAAGGTGTCCTGTGCCTTTGGCTAACGCCGTTGAGGCGTCATTTTTTTGTTCTTTTATTTTTTGGTTGGTGTTCGTTGGGGTACGAGAAAACGACGGGCGGTTTTGTTTATTTATTCTTAGCTTTAACTAATACTTTTTTTTGGAGATGATTCAGCTAGAAGACGGCACCGAAAGACTTTTTTTAAAGAGTACGGGTTTCTGAAGATTCAGGTTGGTGAGCCACATTGAAGTACTGACCTACTTCAGCAAATATCAGCTCTGCTCCCCTGGGGTTGATCGGGTTTCTTCAACTTTTTCCGACTTTGAACCAACCCTCATCGGTCTATCATCATGCCCCGCTCTCTGATGTAATAAATTGATATAAATGGGGTCGGTCTCACAAAAAGAGACATGCGTAGATGAAAGCGTGCTGCTCCTGGGAGGTGTTTTTTTTGGGACAAACACCAGCACCATTTGGTGGTGCTGAAACATGACCTTTCTTGCTACTCCCCTGGGCTGTTTCTGATGATGGGAGATCCGTGTTCAGCGACTGAACTCCATACCAGGCACCCCAAACGGAAGGCGGTGGTGACACCAACACCCCTTTCCTTCCGCTGCAAGTCATAGACACGGTGGTTTGTTTGTATCTCCATCCCGTCCATGCGCCGCGGAACGGTTGGAGCTCGGGCTCACATGCTGCGGGCCATCGAGCTGCGGGCCCTACGCTCCATGGTGGGTACGCTGCGGTCACAGCCGATGCAACAAGCTTCACATTTTGGTAGGTCCCAAAGGCCACACAGCAACTTCCTTTTGATGACTTCAATGACTCTCGAGATCACCACTTTCAGTTCACCAACTGAACAAAGTTGAAGGTTGGCACATCCATGGGTTCCACGTCAGGAACCTCTAAGTCTCCCCTAGGGAAAGGTGGCGACATGCGACTCATCTTCAAAATCACACCTGATTTTGCAGCTATAGAAAACGAAATATCCTATCTGCCAAACAGGCCAAACAGGAACTTATCTCCTGCGAAGAGACTGATGGTATTTGGCCGAGGTGATGTGCAGATTTGTCACGGCGAAACCTTGGCAGATAGGAGCGGCGGCTTTTCGGCAGCTCTCCTTGTGGGGGTTGTTGAAGTTTGCGTCGGTCAAATCGACCGGTGCCTTTTGAATGGTGCCTCGACCAAGGGTGAATCGACCGCTTGGGGTCCAAATCTGGCTGGGCATCCCACCATCTGGGTCGAACGAACCTCAAGACCACGCTTGGGGACCCCCAGCAGAATACTCCCCAGGTCTCAGCCTGAAACGCGCAGACCGAAACGAATGACCTTGAGTAGTTTGACCTTGAGTGCCACATCATCCGTGTCTTTCTTCTGTCTCTGAAGTGGTTTAGCTGGTCTCCGCAAGTAGCGGAAGCCATGAAGAATGGCCAGCCGTCACAGACCAGATGCAAATTAAATTTGAGAGCAGCGAGTTTTCATCAAGGAACTCGAGCGCTACAGGTTCATTGGGAAGAGGTTCTTCTTGACCTTTGAAGCCCAAAGAAGCAGATCTCTTCATGTTGCATTCTGAAGCCTCATCCTCATTCTCTTTCTGGTGTTCACTGTCCTTCTCACACAACTAATCGCTAGCTAGACCTCAGACCATATTGAACCTACGCCACAAACTGCCACGGAAATAGCGTCCAAGCCTACCAGAAATGTGCAACAACCTTGAAAAGAGGAAGCATAATACTCCGAAGTATGGACAACAAATAGGCAAGACAAAGAGGAAACACAACCGGACATATATAAGTATAAGTATCAATAAACTTATCAACAAGTGAAATAAGGACAGTGTTGTTGGCTTTGGAACTGGACCCAAGAGGCTTGCTCGTGAAAGGTTCACATTCAGCTAAGACCCGCCTCCCTGATATTCTTCGGTGTGCTCGCTGGCTTTGTTTTGTTGCTCCAGCATGTTCCAACTACTTGGCGCTTGTTTGTTTGTTTGTCTGTCTGTCCCTGCTTTTCTGTAATTAATGCTTGCTTTGCATTCCTTTGTCCTTTTTGCAATTTCGAGGTTGTCCTCTTTGTTGCTTCTATATGTTGCTATACTTTTACTATTTTATGACACTTAAAGAGCAACCAAGTGTGACTCTCCAACCCATTCACCCGCTGACCCATGCACCCAAATCGCCGGTCACCAGAACGACCGTCGCTTCGCACCCGGTGGAAACCGGCGCAGCGCAGGAAGTCCACCTTCCAAGCTCACGTGGCACTGAGGGTCCACACTTCAACGGAGGCCGAAACGACGGAGGGTGGGCTGAAACGACACCATCTGACTGGTGCTTAGGGAATCAGGGAATGAGCTCCCAAGAGAGATTCCTTTGGATCCATTCCCTCATTCCCTACTAAGCACAAGTCAGCCATGGGAGTGTAGGCTACGACGAACATGGTACGCATCGGACGCCCATCGGACACGTGAACACCTCCACTCCGCATCAGGGTCTCGCCGCCGCACTTGTCCCCGAACTGAACAGCGGTGTTCGGTGGAACGTCTTTTCAGCGGCGCATTGAACATCTCGGACGTTTGTCTTCCTCGGTGAAGCGGAGGATGCTCTTTTTGTGATCCATTCGTTTTGTTGGGGGGTCTGCGAATTGTGCCGCTGGGTTGCACCGACAATGAAGCTACGTGGAAGGTGTGCACAGCAGCGGTTGCTAGCTGATGGTAGTCTTCACAGCCGGGGGCATCCATTCCTTTCGAAAAGGAACACCGGCCAAACAAGCTGTTCCTAATGAAAACCAGAGTTAAGTTATATGTTCTATATAGTGGTTTGGATTTTGGAATGCTCCTGGTAGAAAGCCATAGTTCTGACTTCTGACATGCCCTTGTACCTTTTCCATCCTTTTCCTAGTTCAGTCTTTTGGCAGGTGGAGTGGGCACGCAACAAGCTCTTGTCTGATAAGCGCATCAAAGGGGCAACGCACAACGTGGTCGCTGGGCGAAACAGGGAGATTGTGTGGATGCTCATGTTTTGTTCGAAGGAGCCTAAAGCAACACACAATTGGAGGATATTGGAGCATCACGGTTTTAGAGGTGGTTAGTTTGTTAGTTTGGGAGAGCACTTTACCAACTCCCTCAGGCGCTGGGTGATCTACCCATGGTGTCAGGTGAAAGATAGCGTGAGCAAATTTGGAGGAGAGCCATGAGTCAATCTAGGTGTGAAAATCGGGGATCTGAGCATTTATCAGTCGTTGAAGAAGAACCGCCGGCCAGACGTGCCGAACTGAGCTCGCTGACTCGTACTTCGCGGTTCATCGAGAAGCTCAGCTGCTGAGCTGCACTGACAGAGCAGTCAGGTGGCCTGGCGCTTCCGACAACGTCGCCCCAACAAGTTGGTGGAGGCACCGCTGGATTCGGCCAGGGCACGCGGTCGGCTGGTCTGGGGTCGTTTTTCGAGTGGTTTTTGTGGGAAGTGGGGCAAAGAAGTAGATCATACGACAAGACGAAGCATCGCATGAGTGTTTGGTACAGGTCTTAACTTGCCAAGATTGGGAAGATCCAACTGCCCTTTGGACAGCTGCACTTCTATTATGATTCGTACGAGGCCACGGAGTCATGGAGTGTATCTCAGCGTTTGTCTCCAACATATGTCCCCTCTCCCGTCTTTCTCGTCAGCACCTGTAGCACCTGTGACTTGATTTCACGAACAAACTTCCACCTTCGGATTGACTACTTCGCCCCAAACCAAAGGAACCACCGACCTGAGGACTACGACGACGACGGGGAGAAAGAGGCGGGGAAGAAGTTGCTGGATCTCTTGCAATTGCGCCACGAGATGGACGTCATGGTCATGGCCTCTTGGGCGTGACCGGCGAGACGAGGGCGGCCCCTTCCGGGCGAGACCGGTGAACGAAGGAGAGGTGTGGGAACACTAGGAGGGTCTGCACAGAGGGGATGGATTTTTGACTCTTGGTGCTGCTCAAGGCTTCGCAGGTTTCACTTATGTCGATCCTGGTGGTTTGGTGAGTAGGATGGGTGCCCCCTCAAGCCAAGAAACCCTTGTGGATGACATACTTCCAAGAGAGCAAGGCAAGGTGGCATTTCATCCCTGGGATCTTATAAAGTATATATATAAAGTAGATAGTAATTGATATAAGGGCCTTTCCTTTGTCAGGAGAGGGACATACTAGGGCCGGCTTGGTCGAATCAAGTCTGGATTCATCATACAGGGAGAGGAGATATTCTTGCAAGACTTTCACGCATCATTTAGCTCTCTAGTTAGTTTGAAGGGTTTCAGTGAATTCATAAGGAATATCGATGAGGCAAAGGAAGTGCCTTCAAAGGACAAGATGATGTGCCTAAGGCACGTGTTCTTAAACACAAGTGTTTTAGAATTGCATAACTGGACAAGTCCATGCAAGTCCCAACAAGAGTGACCCCCTACAAATTGGATTTCACCCTGTTGATTCCAACCTGCCATGAGTGGGTGGTTTTCCCCTACTTTGCGAAGCGAATGCCTCGGAGCTCCCGGTGTCCTCTGGCAAATGGCAAGGGTCCGCACGCTACAACCACATGAACTTACCAGGAATGGCATGGAGCGCTCACCCTCTCTGGCACTGCTCAGGTCTCCCGCTGGAGAGGCTGGCTAGTTCGGTTCGAACGTCGTGAGAGATTGACTCCTGAAGGTCCCATAGGATCCCATTGGGATCACATGGGACTGGCTGATAAGGGAAGGACATTCCCATGTTGTTTCTTTTGATTGGCATGTTCAATGGTCCCTATGAAGTCGGTGCTGGGGAGGATGGCGCCGCATGTCAAGCTCTGTTGCATGTCGGTAATCAAACTGCGCTTCCACATTGTATTCATGGAAATGTCCCATGTGGTTCAGAAGGGGGTGATGGGTGTGACTATTACAGAAATTCCATGACATTATACACTGCTGGTGGGATTTCGTTGCCCCTCGGACAGCCTCGGTGTCTTTGATTGAGCTTTCATCTTCAAAGATCTTCAAAGTAATGCAACTGAGTGCGGGTGTCAAAGCAAAACTCCCCTCCTAACACCGGCTGTAGATGGGTGGTTGCTGAGTGTGGGTGTCATGGACGCCCACAGTTCAACTGCAGGCGTCGTGCATCTGGGCTTTGATCGATTTAGGCCAGGAGAGGGGTTGTCTGGCGTCTCCTGCATCCGTAATACAATGAGTCCATGGCCTTGTCGTTGATGAACGTAAATGCATGCATCATTCATTTGAACATGTATTTGGTCTTGGGGCCATTTTTGGACCATATCCATTGTTGGCCTTCACAACTGTTAGGGTCAAGTCAATCGTCCGTGTGCCAGCCGAACCTTGCTCTCCGCCCCGAGCTGGGCTTGCCCTCAGCTATCCGTTTTTTTTCCCTTTATTTTTTCTGGTGACCGGGACATCAGGCCTTCAACACGTTCATTTTGCAGTCGGAGCGTCCCACGAATGCTCAGGGAGCGGTCATGCTCAGCACTCGGGACCGAACATGACCGGCTGGTGCCTTTTTTGCCCAAACAATGCGAAGCTTCAACAACAGCGATTGCTACGTGCATGAGGTTGCCGTTTCCTACATACTTGCTCGGACATGTTCATCACCAAGCTCAGGTCTAGCAACAAAGTCTTCAAGTAGCCTCAGAGGTCTCAGGTCTCAAATTTATAACGATTCCTTTAAAACTTTTTAAAGTGAGGGCATTGCCTTCGATCTCTCTTCACCGTCCGTGTCTCGTGATCCCTATATAAATAGAAAGAAGAGCCCTTCAAACATGCACCAGAATTTCTGCAAGTACCAAGAGTTCACTCGTGTTTCTGCAAGAACTTTGCTTTTCACATCTTTTCACATCCTCGACTTGTCAACGACATCACCGGGATCTGCCTGTCAACGTGCTGCGCAGGGATTACAACAAGGCCGCGCAACATTTGCTCGAGAACATGCCTGAGGTGTGTTCTCTCCGGTGCGTGCGACGGCTCGAACGTCTCCGGAGTTCGGCCGGAGGTGTCATGCGACGAAGCTACGAACAAGGGCATCGAAACGAGTAACAAGGGCATCGCTGCGAACGGAGCAAGAAGCTACGAACGTAGCTAAGGGCATTACTACTAGTTCGAAGAAGCTATTAGTACAGGTCAGGAACTGACCTCGTGAAGCTCCTAGTGACAGGCCAAAACAGGCAATGTCCACCACTCATGGCTCATGACGGGCATTCACTGGCTTAAACAAATTAGGTTTCTTCCAGATGGACATGCACGCACCAATCACTTGCGACCAAATTCAAACCATGCACTGGCTGAGGGAACAGTTCATTTTCGACCGTCGTTCATCGATTTGTAGGGGGTCTATCGGTCTATCTAGTCTTCCAGGGTGTATGCCTCTCGGAAACACCGTTTGTTTTAAAAACAACAGTAAACATGGAGCTTGCTTGGTCCAGTGAGTTCTTTGTGGAGCAAGAGGAGCTTTAAAATTAACATCACTTGATTTCCTACAGCGTGGGTACCCATTGAACCCACCCGTTGGAGCTCCAAAATTGGTCTTCATTCTGTGTATTTGACCACACCCATGACTCCATTCATGAATGTGTGGGAATGCGTGGTCCTCATATGACCTGGTTTCATGAAGCTGCCCTCCACTTCCCTTGATCTATCCTAGCCACTTCTCCCAAGACTTTCTCACTGCATTTGCCACGCACTTTCTCCTTCGCGGGAGGCTGGAGCGTGCGCATGGCGGGAGTAAGTAGCAGCCACAGCAGGTCTTCACGAGATCGACCGCGCGCGAACGCCAATCACGTCGTGCGAGGCGTGTTTTCACCGTTTTTTTTCGATCTGATTTTGCTGAGAGCTGGTCCATTTCCGTAGGGATCTCAGATCACGTTGAAGCAGAGCGATCTTCAGGTTTGGGGAATTCACAAGGGACTCTTGACTCTGGGGGGTCCAGTTGAATGTGTTGGTGAACTATTGCATGCAATTCCACCAGATCAAGGAAGCATCCAGGATGTGCTTTGTTTGGTTGTCCGGAGAGACTTCTCTTAGATGAATTGTGTCGTTTGCATTCACCACGGCTCCTGGTCTTTGTATGTCTTGGTATGTCTTGGTACTGGTTGTAGTAGGCTAGGCTAGACCAAAGGCTGAAGAAGTGCAAAAGGAGGGTATGTCGTTGTATGTCTTTGCGGGTGCTTCCTCAAAATAATACTACTCCCTCATGGTCGTGGTGTCTACAAAGGCTTTTGGAATGCCACAAAACAAGGTCACGGCCGAAAACAAGGTCACACGGTGGAGTTAGAGTTGCGAGGATGAATTTGAGCGGTTCCCAAATAAATCAAAAGATGGGATTCTATTGCTGCTAGTGGTTTTCAAGACTTGTTTTTCAGATGGGATTCACTTTTCCAATATACTTTGCAACTTGCCCTTGTTTGGGAACTGGACAAATTGTCTATTGATTGCTTTTTAATCTTGAATATCCAAACAGTCAATCATGGAATCGCCACCCCAACAAGAAGGCGAAGGAAGGCTCTCGGCGCACCAGATGCTCATCATGGACGGACTAGCTCCCGGCGTTTTATTAGACCAATCCGGAGCCAGCCGCTGCTCGCATCGACCAGGATCGCCGCCTGCTTCGGTTGTTTGTCCTTTTGTATCCATTGAGTCCTGGTAAGTTTGTGCGTGGAGGTTGCTTTGCAAACTTGCTTCCATAGAGTGAAACGGCTTATTTGGCAATTGTGCTCATTGACAGCAGATGTGGGGGTTCTGAATATTGTTTCTGAAATTGCTCTATCTACGGGTGACGAGGGGTCCGCAGCTTTGTACAAAGGAACTCTCACACCACGATTTGCCATGTTTGGAGATGTTACTGGCAAGTTGATATTTCTAATATATATATATATAAATATATTTGCATTTTTTCTGATCAGTGCAATAGCTCCTGCTCACACTGCCTCCAAAATAGACGGATAATCCTTTGACTCTTTTTCCCACCTTGCCAGAAAACAACCTATAGATACCGGACACCAGTGTGCTTGTTTATGGGAGGGGTTTGTCCTCCCCGTCTCACAGGGTACATATACATATACATATATATTTATGTTCATATTTATATTGTTGCTTCAATGTGTCCAGCTTTTGTGTGTTCAGTGATGGACTGCGAACTGCCGTCTCCGGGCGGACTGGGTCGGCTGAGATGTATAATTTGTTGGACACCGTCAAGACTGTTCCTATCTATATTTTAGATTATTTTGGAATCTGAATCCGAAGGTCGGACCTTTGCCTCTCATTCTTTGCTCATATGATGTCTCCAGACGGGCCAATTTCTCACCCTGTCAAGTAGTACGTAGAGTGGCTGTAGGTCCAAGGCTGAGCCAAAAAGGGGGTCTGAAGAGAAGCGCGGAGTGCTGGGGATCTTCATGTTTTGACGCTTTAGCCGAGTCTTCGGGACACCATCGGCTCCTTTGGGTGGTCTCGTTTTGGGTGACAGACCGTGCACGGTAGGGATCTCAAGATCCGCTTTTCAATGCTGTGATGCACATCCGTCCCGCGGCCTCGGGCGGTCCGAAGAATGAGGTAGGGTCCGCAACTTGTGGTCAGGACCGACCCGTTCCGCTCAGGCCTTTGGACTGTCAGTATGTGTTTGGGTGCCAAGCTGGAATGCTTTTTTCGCGGCCTGCTACGGAGCCGAGTGAGTGAGAAGTGATGGAGGAGTTTAGGAGTCTGAGTCGTTGGGCCCCTCAGAGTTTGGAAGACGATTGACAAGTCTTTGGTAGTATCAACCATTCTTTGGCAGTCAGACTTTGGATTTTGCTTCTTTGCTTTCTCCACAGATATATAATGATATATATATATATACGCCCGTGCAGACTAACAGGGATCCTGAGAATGACCCCCTGGATGCAGGGCAATCTTTCCGACTTATTCACACAGGAGCTTTGGAGTCACTTTGGAGTCGTTCGATTGGGAAAGAAAGCCCAGGAAGGTCAGGAACTTCGACTGATGACGACTGTATCGCGCCAGCTACGACTGAGCAAGCCTACGGGTGAGCACGGTACGGGTGGACACTCTCTTCCTGCAACATGCGAGGCAAACCTACAGAACTGGTTGGGGGGTGCCAGGTTATGCTAGGCATATCTGTCCATGTTGATGAACGCTGATAACCAAGTTCTGTGCTGTTTGGATACCGCTCCAGGCCGCTAGACTCTGGACGTCCATGAACAGATTCCTGCAGGTGTGGGTGTGGAAGCTGTTGTCCCCTAAATGGTGCCTGGCTACCAAATGATCATCTTTGGGATGTGCCCAAGGCTGGAACTACCTGAAGATCTTGCGAGAAGGGCGACAAAATGCCTAGGCCCGCAGTTGTTAGCTGTTTTGCTCTAACAGAGCTGGGGCCGGTGGTTCAAGAGGTTTGCATAGGTGGACTTGTGGAAATATCAGGCGGTCCTCCAATGCAGCAAGTTATAGAGAGTTCCAAACAAGTACAAAGGAGCTAGACTTGCAACTGGACAACAGCAGGCCTCTCCGCACTAGAAGACATAGAAGCTGAATGTGAAGAAAAAGATCGCAGAGGCCCCTACAGTTGAACACCAATATCAATACCCCCAAGAAAATTCTGGACATGTGGCTGTTCCCTTATGACATTAAGACCACTATCTTCTCAGACTCCTTCGGCTCATGGAGACCCCGTGCTGCAGGTGACGCCACCGAGCCCTTGGAGCTCGAGATTTGGCCGGAGCGGCAGGGCGAGGTGGGGCGCTGCGCCGTGGACTGGTGCGGCGCCGCGATAAAATTAGACTTTGCGCTCCTAGTAGCGTCCTTGCTCCTAGTAGTAAGGCCAGGAGCCCCTAGTAGCGTCCTTGCTCCTAGACTAGGGATGTTGAGGGACAGCCTGACTAGGTTCCCAGAAGTTCCCTGTCTTTGAGACAGATTCATTTTTGCACTCTGTCACACAGTTCCAGCGCTTCTGCATCGGCTCAGTACGCTCACCGCCCCTTTCGGTCGCCCGGATTGCGGAGCATGGCATCCATGGACGTTCATCTCAGCAGCCTGCATTGTGAAGAGACTTCCCCCAAGCAATGACAATGGGGTGGGGTGGGGCGGGGATAGGTGGGGTCGCTTGATTTTTTGTTGGTCGCCTTACCCATGCTTAACCCTTTGGCTTTTGGATGTTTTTGGGGTGTTCTTCCTACTTTGAGACGCACCCATCAACCACCCAGGCCGACCGAACATCGTACACGCCCGCATCTCTGGGTCAGCTGGCGTTGGGCCAACCCGACAAGGGAACCGCGACTTGGATGGATGGTTTGTGAGCTGAAAGAAATATATGCTCAAATGGCTGGACAATGTGTTTGGTTTGGCAAATGGTTGGACACAGGAATTGTTGAACGGTTAAAGCGATGCATTCGATAAATCCATGTTTCAGTGCACGCCCCCCATCTATATATATATACTTTCAACTTTGTTCATCCGCTATATGTCGTATGTGATTGTTAAGGGAGATAGGGGCATGGAAAAAAGGGGGAGAGAAAGAGGAGGAGGGAGAGGGAGTGGGAGAGAGAGAGAGAGAGAGAGAGAGAAAGAGAGAGAGGGGGACAGAGGGACAGACTCAGCTTAGAAGAGACGAGGATTTTCTTCCACTTACACCGGCACCGCGCTTTCCTCTACTCTGGGCCTTGCAAGCTGCTTGGTATGTTCCCGCACACAGACACGTCCGTTGCGACGGCAGCGTTCCGCACGCTGCTACTTGAGAGCGGCAAGCGAACGCCCATGGCTCCCAGGACGGGAGAGCACAACGTGAGCAGATGCTGGAATCTGTGGGCATGGGTCATGGCACCTCCCTCACCAAACCGTGAGAGGTTGACATCCCTGAAAAAGGCTTCTGTTCATGTTCAGGGGTTCACCACGGTGCTGGGGTTTTGACCCCACAGCCATGTGAGAATATGAAGACAATTGAATACATAGGTTTGTCTCAACAGGAATCTTGCGAACCTCATGTCATAGACCTTGGGTGTCCCTCATTTTGAGACGATCTTCTTGTTGTGCCAAAATCTCTTACCTGATTTTGGTCACTTTGCAGCAATACTATGTTGATGGGTCCTATGAGCCAATCTTCTTGTTTGATGGGGGCAATGCACCCATTGTGGAAGACCTTGCCACGATCAGAGAAGATGTTGGAAACTTTGTGTGTTCGTTTGGATTAGGCATTTTATTATGGCTTGTTGAGTGGCTATGAACGGCAGGTAGGCAAACAGCTGAAAGAGTCGAATCAGAATCCGTCAGAGGGTTCTGAAAGGTTGAATCATTTCCAACAAAGCTCACCAATGCAAATCAGGATCCTCAAGGCTGGTCAAGAGGCCACGCCTTTTCATCCATGCCCCATCCTTGGTAAATGCCGAAACCTGCAACAATGAGTGTCTTAGGTAAAGGCTATAAGTCGGCGACTTATGCATGTGCAAGCTTGTGAGGAGTGCCGTATCCATCGCGAAAAGATTTCCTCAAGAAGCAGATAAATCCAAGGCTGCATGAAGAAGCTCGTTGGTCCACAAGTAGACAGTTGAGACAACCTTGATTAAGACTTGAAGAGGCATCTCATGCAGCTGTTGAAACAATATTGGGAAACCCTAACCAAAACAATCTGATCCCAGAAAGCCAGAATATACATCAAAAGACACAACCCTAGGCTTGGGCCAGGACCTCTGCTTCTCCGCAGAACATGTTTTTGGTGTGTCAGAAACTCTTGTGTCTTCCGACTTCCACCATGCTTGACCACAAAGACATGTCTTTGTAAGGGCACAAGTTCCATGTTGCCATGAGACCAGATCTTTGTTCAACTTCTTCAACCCGCCGAAGCAGCCTTCCGCAGCCGAGTTAGGATACATATGAGCTATCTGATTCAGAGCTCTTCTGGCTCGGGCAGCGCAAGCAAGACAATCAGCCGGAGTTTCTTCAAAGTATGATGGGCTCAGAGACGTTTGGAACCCGCCTGTTGTCCAAGCCGCGAAGAGACATCCTCCATGAACTTGAGGCTCTGATGGAGGAGGACTCACTTGTCCAAAAGCAGTACAGCCTCACTTGGTTTCCTGGTTTTGACATGTTTTCAGTGATTCACCGTTTCTTGCAGTTTGATTGAACAAATGAGAGGAAGCACCGCCCGGATTCTTTTCGCGCATTGACGACAAGCAGCTTCTGGATCTCTACAATTGCCCGCCTGCTGATCTTCCCGTTGCCATTGAGGAACTCCAGAAGTGGTTGGATAATGATGGCTCACCACGTGATCTTTTCAAGGAAGACTTTCTAAGTCGTGACAAACTGATGAAAAGGAGGACGGTGCGCGAGGGTGGTTTTCGCCAACAGGTGCCAAAAGCAAACACACGTGAGTTACTCTGGCAAGGAGGTGAGGGGTTGAGGATAATATTGCGAGGTTGGTGCATGTCATTATCATGACTCTTTGCGACATTTCTTCCTGATGTGAGACAAGACTTGCATCATTCAGTGATTAGGATTCGGCAATCAGAAGCGTTGCCTTTTACATACCTTTCAACCTTTCCCTTCTGATTATTGGTCATTTCCAGCTTCCGATTCTACCCAGGAGTGAGTGGGGTTCAGCAAGTGCTCCAGCAAGCCCTTGGAGTCTTGTCCCAACTCCCAAGGTTTGCCTTGAGCCTTGCAGTCCAGCTTGCAGGATCGATTCCTCCCAGCACCAACGTTTGGACAGCTTTAGCGATGATTCTCTTCGTATTCTGGCCTCCTTAAATCGCTCACAGCAGACAGACGAGATCTTGGAAAGGATCGGGAAGAGCCACTTGGAGGAGAGCCGATCTGACTTTTTGAGAAACGTCGCTCCTTTGATGCACCTGATTTGCCCGTAGATGATCGGTTTGCCCGTCGCTCCTTCAGGGTTCTTAGCAAAGTTGTATCATGTTTTTCCTCTGACTGCACGGCAAGTTTGTTCTGGACCAGCACTGCAGTACCAACACTGAGTTTTGGTGTTTTTGTTGCTGTGGTGAACTTTCATTAGCACTCCAAAATGCAATGTTGCATAAGCGAAGCCGGAGCAAGAACAGTATTCTCGCTCATGTGCTAGCTGGAAAACTCGCCCGTAGGACTGAAATCGTCTACTCATAGCGCTTGTGACAGCAAGTATCAGATGCATTCGTATTCTGATTCTATCCATTGTTGTCATTCCAGTTGCGAGGTTGCGTATTGCCAGAAGAACAAAGTTGAATCTTGGAAAGTGAAGCTGGCATACATGGATGATAATTTTGTTCGCTTTAAGCTTGGCAAGAAGAACCAGAACCAGGAGGGCAGCGGTTTGCAGTCATTGGCGTTGCAACGTGCCTCAGTTTTGGAGATCAGAAGGAACTTCCGGTATCCAGAAACGTGCTAAACATTTATGCAACCGTTGCATGTTTTATGCAGGGACTGTCACGTCTTTAGAACACAAGCAAAGAGGTGCTCCCAAAGGCCAGGGCAACATGCAGGTCTCTAAGAAGGGGTGTTAATACAAAACAGGACACGGTCCGTGTTTTGTTTTGGTAGAGTGGATTCGTTGCACCAATCATATTCAGTACCACCGGACAGGCCATCGGATTGCTTCAGGAGAAGTGGCAGCAGTACTTGGGCCTTTCAGATGGTGCATCGGCTGTGGAAGAGGTGGCTGGGCTCGTGAGTGGAGGTTACCTGTGAAAGTGCAACCCAGAGGTTCTCGCCAAGGGAAGAACAATTATGAATCATGAATGTATACAACAGGTTTCACTGGTGTTGTTGAGCACTTGAGTTCTCGGAATCAGCTGCAATATTATGTTGGGATGACCTGTTAGGCGTGGAGGTTTCTGGTGATGTGGCAATGGACGTGTTATTCTTTTTCTGTGTGGGCGAAGTCGTGAGTGCAATGAGACAATTGCCAGCTGGTAGTTGACAGCTGACATGCTACCTTCAAAGGTAGGCTAGGCAGTACACGAACAAATTGAATTTGTTGGGTGAACGGCTTGAGCAGGCTGTATGAGTGGAGAAACGTTCTTTTGATTTCACCAAGTCTGGATGTCTGGACGCCTCGCTCGTCTAGCGTGTGAGAGGTACACCATGATACCAAGAGAGGTAGGTTTCCTTGTTGGTCCTTCAAACTTTAGGAACACAGTTGGGCAACAGGAAACAAGAAAGCCTACCGACACAGATCTTTCCATGTTAATAGTTGAAGATGCATGGGTTGACCATTTTTCATTTGCAGCGCTGGTGTTAAACCATTTGAGTGAGAGTTGAAGCGTGTCTCGCCAGTCCAAAATAAACGAAACAAAATATGGCACCCTTTCAGGGTGAGCAGCAAAATTAGCGGACTGATGAATATCCGACCTGCTTTATTAGATTAATAGAGGAATCTCAATTGCAGCTTGCTTGTTGACACTTGACTCTTAGGATGTGCAATTCCAGTGCAAAACATTGTGCCGCGACGGCCCTGAAGAACATCTTGTATAGAATGTATGAATATAGAAGACGTGACGTGACATATACTGTAAATATAGTGCTGTCAAATTGAGTCAAATTGGACATTGGGAGTGTTCCTGGCCGTGTAGTCTTTGCACGGGAACGTTTGCGTGCAAAGATGTGAACGTGAACATTGTGTCCTTCGAGTGCTGAGGAGAGGAGCAATGACCTCGAGGACGAATCGGAGGAAGAGACTCAGCGCATTTGCGACCCCAAAGATGCCAGACAGAGGCTTAAGTCATGGCAATGTGCACATGGTGACGTTGT